AAATATGTATATGACAAATTTTATAAGCAGCATTCATTCTTATATTTCAAGTATCATTAGCTTCGAAAAAATGTATTGATTATCAATAAAAGTTATTTGATTTTTGAAATGTCCAATTGGATTGTATTACATATTCTAGAAGTTTTAAATCACAATACTGCAAATATGTCATACCTTATTGGATGTCAGTGATCTATGTACATTCGGTTAGTAAAAGAATGGTGTCGAGTTGTCGTTCCATTTAGTTTTACCAAGAAAAGGAGTATGATCGCATTAAAGATTTATGAAATGTTTCTTGAACAAGGAAGTAGTACGTCCGCTCAGAATGAAGCTCAAAAGGTTCTACCATTTTTCGATAAACCAAAGAACTCAATTATACGAGTTTATTGGTTTGTAAAGGAACATATGAAAGAATCAAAACAGTTGCATCAATACTTCAAATGTTAACAGACCGTGAAATTTGACTGGAAACTTTTATCATGGTACAAATAACGAAAGAGCTTATGAATTATGAACAACACCAATAACTTGTTCCATAAATAATAAATCCAATTAAATCTAAGTGTGGCTGAGAAAATTTGTATAAAAAATCACGTTTAAGAACTTTCCAGTGTGTTTCTACAAATATATTGGTTTTAAGAATAGAAATTTTGTTACTATTTCCCGCACGAGATCATAAAATCCAACGGTCTAAACTATACCACTCATTTCATAGATAAATTCAAAGACATGGTAAAGAATGTTCTTTACAAAAAGTATAAATTTCTTTTACTGCATTTGTCCAAATTGAAATAGAAGAAAGAAATTGTTTTTGGATTGTTGTCATAAGTATACTGTCACCCGTAATTCTTTTGGACAAAGATAATTTTTTCATTGGTTAAAATTTGTTGAAAAATCTTTAACCAGTTAATTGACTGTATGTCAGAGGCGCAGTAATACATTTATACGTTTCGCGGTTTAGTTTTATTTATTACATACTTAATATCATCCGCACTTAAATTACTGATACTGAAAAAAATTTGATTCGATTTATCTTATCAATTCCGTTATGTTCTTGACTAAAAAGAAATAAATTTTCGGGCTTTTTTCTTAAAAGCATCTTCCTTTACGTCACTAGGAAGCAGATTTCTAACCTGTTTATTAATTTCTATCTGCGTTATCAATTCGTTTTTAACTTTTCGTAATGAAAATCAAAGAGCCAGAGATTCCACTCAACGAGATATTAGAAACATATTCTGAAAATGCAGAATTGATTCAAAAGTTTGCTTCACATTACCTTTACCTCGGAATAATACGCTTAAATTCCCAGATAAAAATATAGCAGTGAAAACATAATTGTATAATCATATTGTTACTGCAAAGCAAGTAATTATTTGTTTAATAATGTTACGAATTACATTAATGCAATAAAATTGATTGTTGATCGGCACATCAAAATTTAATGTCACGATAAAATAAAAAATTTTTAAATGACAGTTTACAAACTTGATACAAAAATAAATTTATAAATTGTAGATAAACTTTATTGCATAATAGTGGGCTAACCATAAAACAAAATAAAACTTGTGTGCCTCATAGATTTTTTGCCATGAGTTGATCGCTGATCGGCACGCATTTGTTACTGCATATATAAAAAAGTACCAAATTTGGGAACGCGCCATTATGGCTGAATTTTACGATTGCATATTATCCTAACTTAAGTGTTGCCGGAAAATGGTTTGATTCGTTGAATGTATATCATCCGTTTATCTTTATCATCGCTAATACGAAAAAAAGATCATAAATCTTTCGAGCTTTGCGATCTAATTTAAAAGGTAGATATGAGGATAAATAACAAACAATCATAATTGAAGTTTGGTTACCAGTAGAAACTGCCACAGACTTACTAGTTTCCAGCCTCAAACGAGTCAAGAACAAAAGAGGTATGTTATTTAAGCGAAATCCTTGCAAAATAAAAGGCTATACACGAATAGGATTAAAAATTAATGGTGTTTATAAAAGTACCGCTGTTCATATTTTAGTTGCGCGAAC